CCAGGTTTTTAACTCAAATAGTTCCGGAGAAAAGTTGCGCGCAAGATGTTGAAGTAAAAATGTCCCAGAAGCCAAAACCCTTCAAATCCAAACAGTTTCCAATGATTCTATGGGTCTCTCTAATGTTTTATAAATTGTCTGATAGTTGAACTAGTGAAGGGAAACCTCACTTGGGCAAAATTTTGTCATTATTAATTGTTTTTGAAGATAAGTAAAAACATGTTAAATTCTAAGGTTCAATGGGTATTTCCCACCTTAATCGAACACATTGGTGGGGGTAGTGAACCCCCACCTCCGTCCGCCCAGTTAGCCAGGGCAAAAAGTGGTTGGAAATAAAATAAAACTAAAACAAGGCGGGGGAATTATTATTTTTCTGAATAAAAAGGTGGAAACGGCGGGAATGTAGCTGGACGGGTGACGGGTGAAGGTAGTCTGGGCCGAGCGCAGCACGGCCACACGCACCGGGCGGCCGGCGGCGGGCGCATCTCGAAATCAGGAAGCGCCACGCCCTCTCTAGCCACGCCACGCCACGCGCCTCTTCTGGGCGCCGCAGGCCGCGTCGTATCCATGGGACCCGCCGCCGGGCCGGGCCGGGCCGCCCATGGCATTGGCACCCGCCAGAGTCTGTCTCCCCGGCAAGGGCATACGCGGGGAGGAGCCCGCCCGGCGGGGGCCATGAGAAATTCAGCAACCGCGGTGTCCGAGAGAGGTTGGGACGCGAATAAAGCTGCTCTCGACTTAAAAGCACACACACACACACACCACTTCATGAGACGACATTGCCGAGCTGCCCGTGCCCGCGTATATGTTTAACATTTAGAAACGCGGCGGCGGCGGGGAGTTTACTTTGGACTCGTGTTATTATATTTCCGGTTGCGGTACGGTAAACTAACTGACTTCCCAGCAGCGCGTCGGTCGGTCGGTCTCGGCGCCGGCAAAGACTCCCACGTCGACGTCGGCTTCCTGTCATACGGGGCAGGGCGTCGTCGGTGGCGCGAGCGTCGTCTTCTCGCGGGCGGGTCCTGCCGCCTCCCGCGCCTCGCGACGGCGGGGAGGTGAGTGGGACGAGGAGGAGGGGGTTGGGGAGGAGGAGGAGGGGGGGGGGGAGGAAAAGGAGGGCCTCCTCCTCGCCGGCCGGCGTCGGGCGCCCCGCGGAGGAGGCGTGGGGTATCCAATCAGCCGGCACCGGGACACACCAGACCGTTCATCCCCGACTCCATCCACCCGGCCCGCCTCATCATCGCCGTCCTCCTCCTCCTCCTCCACCAGAGACACTTGTCTGGGAGGCGAGTCGTTCTCTCATCATAGAGGGGATGTCAAAACGGCGGCGGCGTCCTCATCGTCGTCGCAGCCGCGGAGGTAGGAGTGGGGGGGGGGGGGGGGGGGGGGGGGGGGGGGGCGTCCTCGTCGCCGCCGTCCTCGCCGTGGAGGTCCCCGCCATGGCAACGACCCCGCGCACGACGGCGCGTGACTCCCCTGCTTGCGCATGCCCGCCGCCGCTGACCACCCATTCGTCCTCGACCGAGACGACGGCGACGACGCGACGCCTTGCTTCCGTCGGCGCAACTCTGCTGACCCGAGGGGAAAAATAAATTTCGAAATTGTTTCCTTAATACATTTTTACCCCAATTAAAACTTCCATTAAAAAAGAGGGAATGCAAAACCTTCCTATGCAAAAAATCCAAAAATGTAACAATGGGAAGTTCATCGTTATTGTTTCATTTTTGAAAGATGTAATCCTTTCCGTATGGAAAAAGTGCACGGTTTGACCAAAACTTTGACCAAAACAAAGTCTTTCCAGCTCGCCCTTCATTCATCTCAGCCCGGTGCTGAGCCTTTCCTGGACCCGCGCGCCCTCCCCTCTGCGGCAGCCACACCCAAGCAGCGGGGGGCTGCGTGCGAGGCGTGTCGGACGGCCACTCGCGGGCGAAAGGCGGGTGCGACGAGCACGGCCGCCGTCGCGATCCACCCGGCCCGCCTCATCATCGCCGTCCTCCTCCTCCTCCTCCTCCTCCTCCTCCTCCTCCTCCTCCTCCTCCTCCTCCTCCTCCCCACCCGCCGCGCCCAGCCTCCGCCGATCAGGTTTGGGCCGTGCGGGGG